CATCATGACACAACGTTTCGATACAAAATTGCAAACTTGTCCTTCAATTAGAAGTGGATCTAGTAGCCCTATAAATGTATTTGTTCGAATATTTTTTCCGAATGGGTGATAATTGTCATTCAACTCTCAGATTTTCACCCGAAACTCAAGGGGTTTTGTTGTTTGATCTTGGTAGATTTAATAAATTAAACCCACTCTAGTTCGGGTGTGGTTGTTTGATGTTGGTAGATTTTCAAAATCAAACCTACTCTTAGATTTTATTTTCTAGATTACTGGGCTTGACTCGTGACTCTCAAGTGCTTTACTGAAGTAAATTAAAATTTAATTTTTAGTTAAATTTGTTTAGTGGTATTCATCAAAATTTATGTAATTTAAAACACACTGAATGTTCAGTAAAACCAAAAAATAGTATTTGAACATGATAAGAATTTGCCATAGTAAATAAGAAATAAAAATGGCAAAATTGACAAGAATACTCCCAGAAATTACAGATTTTACATAAATACTCCCAAATTTGTTTATTTACATTATTACTCCCACATTTTTCTTTTATTTACATCATTGCTCCCAAATTTGGTAATGATCATTAGTGTTACTTGGATGCATTTTTTTTGCGCTAAATGAGCAGTTAAAATGCAGTCATGTATTTTTTTCTCTCTAATATACCAAATTCACCTCAACTTATTTTTTTAATCGACTTTCTCACGTCCTAGTAAGCCTAATCATTGCCCTTATTTCCATCACTTTTTTTAAAAATTTCAGATTTCAAACTTCCTAAATCTTTTTAATGTTTAATATCAAGTCTGTTAATAATAATTTAATTTGAATTCAATAAAAAAAGATGAAGAACCCCGTTAAAAAAGATGCACCCGAGGAACACTGATGATGAAACAATCGCGGAGTAACGACGTAAATAATAGACAAATGTGGGAGTAACTATGTAAATAAACAAATTTGGGAGTATTTATGTAAAACCTGAAATTTCTAGGAGTATTCTTGTGAATTTTGCCAATAAAAATTGAATGTGCCACATTATTTAATTATACTCTGTATATGGATCTATTGTAAGTTTGTAACACTTAGGTTGCGTTCCGTTTGCCTGATTTGATTGAATTTGATTTGAATCATGATTATAGTTATATTTAAAGTTGCTTTTGGTCATTGGATCTGATTATCTGATCTGATTTTAATAAGAATAAGTTGAAAAATAAGTTGAACGGAATAGACCCTTAGCAGCTTTGATTTACCCACTGGTTTATTGTTGTTAATTTACAACCACGACAAAGCCTTATCCCACTAGGTGGGGTTGGTTACATTGATCAAACGATGCTATTGCTCCCTATCATGAACCATATCTGAAGCGAGATCATTTTCATGAAGTTCAATTTTAAGCATACATGACCTAGTGTGATTTTCCCATGTATAAGAAAAGGGAAAAGTATTTGGTTGAAGTTTTTATCAATGAAAGAGAAATCTTGCAAGTCACATGACTATGACTTTAAAAAGAGATGAGATAAAAAGTGTTTTTTGGGAGCTCCGTAAAAGAACGTGGGAATTTTTCTTTAGGGACAGAGGGAGTATTCAAGTTACAATTTAATTTTAACTTTTTTTTTACTTGAGTGTGGATTTGTTTGAGTCATTGACATACAAATATTTCTTACTCTATCTATCCTAAAATTTTCCTTTCCTCCTTTTTGGGTTGTCCTATATTTCTATTCATGTTTTCTTTCAGGAACGATTTGTTGTGGTTGATACAGCTTCTCTCATTTCTAAATCAGCCACATGCACACAAAATCATTTCATTAACAAGTGTGCCAAGTTAGAATGATTTTTTTTTGAATGGAGGGTGAGGGTGTATTATATAGGTGTTGGTTACATGTGTTGGGTATCCACACACAGTGGGTGTGGGTTAATTTTAAAGAGGTCCACCCACCTTGGGGTCAAGGGGGAGGATGGGTTTGGAGATACCATGACCCTAGTTTTGGTCAAGCAATATATATTTAGAAAGAAAAACAACCAAATAACTAGTAATTCGTGAACATTTTTATTGTCCGTTAGTGCAGTAAGGTACACGCCCATAGAGCTGTTTTTCTGAATAGTATTTTATATTGTCATTTTTAATGTCTTTTGTGCACTTTAATTTAAATGCATCAGAAATCAAAGAAGTCAGAAAGAGAAAAGACAGAGCCAGAGAACTTGAAGGAATTGACACGAGTAACATTGTTTCAAGTTCACGGAGAAGGTCAACAACCACCAGTTTTGTGCCTCCTCCAAAACCCAAATCGCCTGTTAAAGATGACGAGAGCGATGCCGAAGGCATTGAGAGTGACAGAGACGATTCCAGTGACAGAGACGATTCCAGTGATACAGATGAAGATGCTGATGATCTTTCTCAAGTTGATGACCTAAGTGAAGGTATGCCATTCCTTATTTCTCCAATCTTATATTTCTTGTGTGATAATTATAAATAATATTTGATAATCATATGATCTGTCTGCTTCCATCGATTTGGTACAACGTTTTGCATGCATCAGGAGAGAAGTTAAATGATTTCATTCATTGCGAAGGATGGCATCCTGTTTAGTGGCTGATTTTATTTCCCGTTTTTTTGAGGCAGATCATGATGACGAGTGACTGAATCTTTTCATAGAAGAATTCTG